GTAGTCCTTATACCTACCACAATAGTCCTTATAAAGTCTGCCTTACTGTTTTAACAAGTGTCAGAGTTAATTTTTTTCTTTAATACAGAGCTCCAAGCCTTCCTGGACCCCTCACCCAGAGCATGAGAACTACTAGGGCTAGGGCTGGGCTCCCCCACCACGCCCCAGGGAGAGACCCTCCCACCAAGCCCCAGGGAGAGACCCTGTCTACCTGGCCAAGAGGTGAGGGGCTAACACCAGACAGCCAATCCACAGGCTAGCCAGACACTACGGAGGTCACCTGGGGAGGAAACAGGGTCTCTTTCACAGCCATGGCCATTCAGTGGGCAAGCAGAGCCTCTCCCTGGAGCAGCTGGTGGCAGCAGCAGGGAGGCACAGAGGAGCAGGGTCCTGGGCAGAACCGAGCTCTCCTCCTGCTGAGGAAAGTCACACCACGGCCAGCACTGCCGCAGTGGGTGTGGGGCGCAGTCAGCCCCTCCCTGGGAGGCCCAAATCTGACGCTAAGGTGGCTGTATTCCTTATATCCACTTTCCACTTTCCACTGAGCCCAGGCTTCCTGAGGTGACCTGGTGGGCTTCTGATGCTATAAGCCAGACCCCCTCCCCGCCTCGGGTCTGTGTCCTGGGATATGCTGCTGCCCTCAGCCCTCCCTGCTCCCCACTCAGACCCCAGACTATAGGTGAAAGAGGCTCGAGGGACGCTCATTTAATTCCGGCTGCTGTGAGGGCCCCTTTTTTGGGTGTTAGGATTAAGAATTCCTCAAAGCCTCTTTTTAGATGCTTCTGGGCTCTGCAGAGTAGATTAGCATAGGCCCCAGCCTCTGGTGCACAGTCAGGGAAAACCCAGAGAGGAGGTTCACCAAATCTCTCCTCAGGTCCACTCCTGCCCGCCCCTTGTCCTGGCCTGTCCCTCCCCAAGCCTCACCCAGAGAGGAAAGCCCAGCCTCACTCTCCCAAATTCCAGGGACGCAGTCTGAAGTAGCACCAGGAACTCACCTCTTACCCAGGGTCCCAGAAACCGCTTTAGAGCCAATGGCTCTCAGCCACTCAGCACAGCTGACAGAGCCCACGGAGGGAAAAGTTGGTCCCTCCAGCTATCTAGCTGATGGACACCAGGACTCTCCTGGCTGCTCAGAGAGGGAGGCAGAACAGACCTCAAGGAATGAAGTTTTACCTCCAGCCTGCCCAGACCCATGTAAGCTCAGATCACCAGGCCTACTGCCTCTAAGAGAAACACTACAGCACTGCCCAGCCTGGCCCAGCCCAAGAGTAGAGAAAGTGGGGTTCCCAGGTCAGCTGCTGGTGAGCATGAGAGCCACCACCGGGGTGGCAACAGTCCCAGAGCTTCTGTGTGCTTTTGCTTCACAGTAACCCCATGAGAGGCAGAAAGGGCAGATTCCTCTCACTTCACAGGTAGGCAAACCAAGTCCAGGAGAAAAAAGTAAATAAAAATCAAAGGCTTATCTAGGTCGCTCTGCTAGAAAGCAGAGACAGCTCAAAAGCTGCCTCACCACTATCCACTCTACAAGCTGAATGAACAATGTTACTCACCTTCTCATGTAATTAGCCAAGGCACTGAGCCCTCACCAGCAGCAGGCCCTGTGCTGTGCCAACACAGTCACACTTGCCCCATCAGGACCAAAAGTAAATATGCCATTAAAGGAGAAAATGGGTGTGGGGACAAGGAATACCCCACACAACTCAGTTAGAGAGGACAATGCCATCACAGATGCCAACACAAGCCAGCAACGCTGGTTTCTGCCTAGACCAAAGATTCTCAAAGCCCTGGTCTACATAGTCTCCTGGGGACTCTGATGACCAACAAAGAAAGGAACCACTGTTTAGAACCCCATCACCTCTTCCTCTATTCAGGATGACAAAACAGAGGCCCTGAGAAAGGAGAAAACATAATACTGAGTAGCCCACAATACAGAAGTACCTGAGGTATCATCATCTCCACCAGTGTTTCTTGGCCCTGATGGATGTCACCAGAGACCAAGCAGGTGACAAAGCACAAAAGCAAAGTCCCTAGCATGGCAAGCTCTTTAACACCCTGCAAGGGTGATCCAAGTGAAAAATGCAAAAGGGTTTCTACAAACCCCTTTTACATGCCAGAGAGCCAGCCCAGCCCCACAATCAAGCCTGTTCTCCATGTGGTCCAACCTTTAGTAACCTTACCACCTCTCCTGCCCACACCCCTAGGCCTGCAGGCTCAGCCTGAGTCCCAGAAGTGGAAGTGGAAAAGCGAAGCCTATAAGGGCGCCTCTACATGCTCCTCCTTCTAGGAAAGGTGACTACCCCTACTGGCCACATACAGCTAGAGCACAGGTCTGCCGTGCCAGGGCAGTGAGGGGAGCAGGAGCCCGATTCCCTTCCCATGGGCTTTAATATCACTCTCTAAAAGCTGCCAAGAAACAGGGATCATCATCCCAGTTGACAGCCCCAGGCTAGGAGCTGAACACGGGCTTGATAAAAATCCCTGACCCCGGACTCACCACTAGTCCTTGGGCCCATGAATGAATGAATGAATGGGCAAAAGAAGACCTAAGGAATTCAAGTAACTTGCCCAGGGTCCAGAAGCAACCTTCCTCTGCATACTACCTCTCACTACCCTGATATATTCTTGCCCACCACACCTCTGCCATTCAAATGTGGCACCTCAACTCATCTTTGACCTAAATAATGTTTCCTTGATTAATTCATGATCAATGTTCCTGGTGACACAGAAACATGTAACACTCAGACCTTGGGAAGAAGTTGGTGGAAGGCACAGCGATAGGCGAATGGCAGGCATTCCTGCTGTTCACCAAAAGTTTTCAAAGCTCTTTCCCTCCCCACTCTGTGGTTAAGTAAGTATGGCCATGTGACTGCTTTGGCCACTGAAATGTCACTTCTAGGTGGAAGCTTTAAGAGTTAGAATGAAATTCATCATTCTCTCTGTGCCTCTGTCCAAGTGACCAGGAATTTTTCGATTAATCCACATGGGTCCAACAGTGAGAACAACATAAAGCAGATATGCAATAGGTGTGGTGTGAGCAAGAAATAATCCTTTGTTTTTTTAAGCCTCTGAAATTTGGGGATTGATACCACAGGAAACTCTGATCTATCTAGACAGACACAGTCAATGACTCCCTCCCCAATCTTCTGTGCAGGGCAACTCCGGTCTTCCCTTTCCTCGGTCTTCCTCAGGTCTTTCCTTTCCCCAGCTGTAGGGAGACAAAACCTCCATCACCAATCAGCTGGGGTTCAGGGGCACCTACTATGTGCCCAAACAGATGAGATGCTTTCAGAAGCAGGGGATATAAGGGCAACCTGCGCTAGACTTACTAGTTCCGCTGTGGGCCAGGCTTATTCAGTGTATTAATCTACTTTAATCACTTCTAAGAAATCATTATCTAGTTAGAAATGAGGAAACCCAGCTCACTTAGAGACTAAGCAAGTTACTCTGTGACCTCTCTGGGTCAGTTTCCTCATCTGTAAAATGGGACATTCACATTATCTACCATACTCTGTTTTCAAGGGTTAACACAAGTGAAGTTTCTGGGATAGTGCTTGGTATAAGTCTCAAGAAATAGTAAGTCTCAAGAAATTCCCTATTACTACATGCTAAATCTTTCACAAAATTGCTGTAAGGTTGTCCATAATTTCCACAAGATTTTAAACCCAGCAGAGGTTTCCCTGGACTGGTATAAGGGCACTCTGTAGGCACTGCCAAACTAAATCCTACCTCAGCTGAAGGTAAACAAGAAACAAATCAAATCTCAGCAAATGTTTCCAGAACCCAGGGCTTCCCGACTCCCTGCTCCCTGGCCTCCATGGGAACTTCACTTCCACCACAGACATGAGCAGGAGGGCCCCCTCCCCTCCCACGAAGAGCATGAGCTTTGTTCTCCCACTCCCAAACATGGGCAGGCAGGCACCCTCACCTGCCCTGAGGGATCAGCACAGCTGCCCAGCTGGTAAAGGGGGAACTTCCCTGGGCAAACAACCCTTCTGCAGCCCCCTCCTCTCCATGCCTTTTCTTCCTGGAGGCAGCCACAAACCTCCAGAAGCAGCAGTGGCTTGGACTCCTGTTTGCCTGAATGCTGCTGTGAAGCTGAACCCAAGCTCAGATCAACACTATGAGCACCGACTACAGGTCCAGCCTGGGCTCTAAGACCACACAGAGCTTACAGCCAGACAGACAGTTGTGAGCCTGGAACGGTGCTTGCGGCAGCGACTGGTACCCTAGCATCCCAGAATCTCAATCATGCTTTGTAAAATGAATCGAAGACCACATTTGGTGACCCAGCAGTGGGGTTCAGAGATGTGGGGATAAAGAGATCAAGAAATTCTCCAGCTGAAGGTGGGGTGCAACAAAGGATGACACAGTAAGAGGGAAAACCACACTGGTAGTTTGGGCTTCCAAGGCCTGTCTCCAAGACACTATGGATCCTCAGGATGGGACAAAGCTTGGGGACAGCTGACAGAGGAGCTGGAAGGGCATATGGGTCTATGATGGAGGAACATGGGCTTCATTGGGGGGGGAGGGGTGCTCTGATGGCCTAGGCCCTACCTAGGTTTCTCTTCACAAATAGGGAAGGGTGTCCCAAGCACTCAGCAGGCACTAATTCCTGGTACTTTGAGGTCAAGGGGTAAGGGGAAGGCTACTTTTGAGGATCTGGCAAGCAGCTTCACCCACTCCATTCAGCCCCCATCTCTGAAGGGAGGAAGACCCCTAGAGAGCAGACCACAGGAGACAGGGCACCTGCAGAGGCTCCGATGCAACCCCCAGCATTCTCGGCTCAAGACAAGTTGATGCCAGCAGACGCCAGAGTCCCCCCGGCCAGGACAAGGGTGGACAACTGCCCCCGCCACACACACAGCATGGGCCGAGTCTAGACAGAGACCAACTTCACGTCCCCGAGTCCCAGCGTCCCCCGAGCCCAGACCTTGCACACGCGCGCACACGCGCACACACACGCGCACACACACACACACACACACACACTTCCTACGCACCGGCAGCACCACGCTTCCCAGCCGGGCAGCGGCCACCGACCAGCTCGACGGAAGCCCCAGGAAGGTCAGGGGTCGGGCTTTGCTCCCAAGCTCAGTCCCAACCGACCAAGGCGGAGAAGCTGGGTCACCACCGACTCCAACGCGGGCCGTCCAAGCCCGAGCAAGGCTGAGTGGGACGCACCGCCGGGGTGGGCGACTTGGGGCACAGCCTGGGGGCCCTCCCAGGTCCGCGCCCCCACCCCAGGCGAGCTCCGCGCGGCCGAGGGTCCGCGACCGAGCGCAAGGGAGAGCCCACGCCA